CGTACTGCGGCGGTCGCGCGCTACTGCAAGCGAGAGGGCTCTGGTTAGAGCAAGGCATAGCAATCACTACGGTTGATGGAAATTTAGTGTCCGCTAACCGGCGCAATTCTTGTTTATATTCAGTCAGATGATAAAATCACTGCAAGGACCAAAGTGTATGATTGGGGAGGGCAAGGAGTGGTGTCTGTGACACTCACGACAAAACAGTGTCTGCCGGGCCGGGGACCACCAATCCACCATCTGTAAAGATCTAACTTTTAAGGGTCCTGGCTATGTCAACTACTCCAAGGTTGGTTTAACTGTGGTCTAGCTCTTTTGGAAATATTAGTCTCGTCGTGACTCAATGACTAGTGTGTCTGATAATTTTTCGATTGTTCCTCATCTCACCAATTATTGGTCCTTGTCGCATTTAAGTATTTTAAAGATGCTGTAATGAGATTACTGTTGTATATTTTCTTCACAGAAAACTTCATTCGTCTCTTACATTAAATCGTCAGTCGTATTGGTGGGTCGGAGTGCCCCTGATAATCTACACTATTGACCGGATTGTACGTTAATTGACGATGTCAATTCATCTCAGCTCGGCGCGGCACAGTAGCGCATCTTGCCGATCTAGAGAAGCCTCATATCATTGAGTGCACGGCGCGGCACAGTAACGCATCGCGCTACAAGATTGTACGGTGGTCAAGGCGGTTCAACCCGGCGGATGTGTACAAGGCTATTGAGCATCCTGGACCTTGTCTGGAACTAAGGATGAGGAAGAATGGCTGGAAACAGCATGCTGGCCAGATGAGAAATACAGCACAACATGACGCGTAGTGGGGTGAGAATCCCTGCCACGTTTTTGGTCAGCTTCGCCGGGGCTCATGTCTTTCCTCGAGGGAGCATTAGTGTCTACAGAAAAACTGACAAATCCTAGCGAAGTCCAATCCGAACCACATCTTCCATCAGAGGTGGTGCTGGGTCAGCTGGTTACTGAACGGATTGGCCTGGAGAAAAGCATAGTCCTGTTATTCTAAAGTTAACCATAGAGGGGGTCAGGCGCTGTTCGCTCACGGCTGGTTCTTGGAGCCAACACCCTCGGCCCCACAGAAGTGGGAGCACTGTCGGTGGTGGCACACCCAGATAACGGACAGTGTCTCTCCTTCTTTCTTCTTGGACTTGCATTGTGCTGGTGAGTCAGCTGGCAACAGTGTACCATACTTTCATATTCATGTTTTCTTCCCCACTTCTCCTACACCTCACTTTATTACTCACTCATTCACTCACATGCCGCCTTAGGGCCGCTACCAGTTAGAGGGGATCTAACAATCAAACAAACTGCCAGCCTTAGGGCCGTTACCAGTTAGAGGGGATCTAACAATCAGACAAACTGCCAGCTATTGGAGATATAGCACTTAGATTATTACCAGCAAACGTAAAATTAGCAATAATTACGTGAACAAAGAAATTGCCAAATTGCGACAAAAAAGGGTCTACTCAAAATTCAAATATCGCATGTAAATTCGTGAATCAGCACTTTAGTATAGCGCGGAAATTGAGCCGCGCAAAGACAAAGATATAACACAAAAACAACAAAGATATGGGTGAATTCCATCGGAGGCTCAGGCATGCCTGGTAGGTTCCTGTCAGCCCACTAGAATGACAGGGGGCAGCCTGTTCTATCGAGTACCCGGGAGAACATCCAGGCATGGGTGGTGTTCTCCCGTGAACGAGCATTATGACAGTTTCCCTTACGGGAAACGTCGCTCACCAGGCTTTATCCTCTGGAGGGGCGGGATCACTAGCCCATGCCAAGTGACCCAAACCTACTGACACCTACAACCAGAGGAACCCCAATAGACGTTAGTCACTAACTGACGGACGTAGCCTCCCAATAGGGAGGTAAAGTGGGTGCCCCAACATTTAAAAAAAAAAAAAAAAAAATGACGCGTAGTGATAGTGGTGACGAATCTACTAGTCACATTTATAGTTAATTCATGTTAATATGGTTATAGTTCATGAATCATACAGAATAAATGATTAATACTCAATCCAAGTTATTTAAGCTATTTTAACAGTTTCTAAACTACTGCCAAGTCATCTCAATATCAGACCTCTCGATAAAAATAAAAATAAAAACCCACTGGCACTACACCCTCCCCAGTACGTGTTCCTGCAATGTAGTGATTTGCCTATATTTGAGTGGCATCCCTTCACCCTAACCCACTACACCCTCCCGGCCAGTACGTGTTCCTGCAAAGTAATGAGTTGTCTATATTTGAGTGGCATCCCTTCAGTTTCACCCTAACCCACTACATCCTCCCCAGTACGTGTTCCTGCAATGTAGTGAGTTGTCTATATTTGAGTGGCATCCCTACACCTTATTGGGCGGCGCTCAGCCTGTCATTCCGCCGAATCTTTATTATTTATTTATTTATGAACATAATAGCCTAAGGTCCCCAGGTAACCCTACACCTTAATCCACTACACCCTCCACAGTACGTGTTCCTGCAATGTAGTGAGTTGTCTATATTTGAGTGGCATCCCTTCGCGAAGCAGAGCAACGATCGACGATCAACGATCGACGATGCTTCGATGCGAAGCAAGAATGCTAGTTCGCGCGGCGCGTCGAAGCGGCGAAGTCCTCCAACCTAACCCACTACACACTCCCCAGTACGTGTTCCTGCAATGTAGTGAGTTGTTTATATTTGAGTGGCATCCCTTCACCCTAACCCACTACATTCTCTCCAGTACGTGTTCCTGCAATGTAGCGAGTTGTCTATATTTGAGTGGCATCCCTTCATCCTAACCCACTACACCCTCCCCAGTACGTGTTCCTGCAATGTAGCGAGTTGTCTATATTTGAGCGGCGTCCCTTCATCCTAACCCACTACACCCTCCCTAGTACGTGTTCCTGCAATGTAGTGAGTTGTCTATATTTGAGTGGCATCCCTTCACCCTAACCCACTACACCCTTCCCAGTACGTGTTCCTGCAATGTAGTGAGTTGTTTATATTTGAGTGGCATCCCTTCACCCTAACCCACTACACCGTCCCCAGAACGTGTTCCTGCAATGTAGTGATTTGTCTATATTTGAGTGGCATCCCTTCACCCTAACCCACTACACCCTCCCCAGTACGTGTTCCTGCAAAGTAATGAGTTGTCTATATTTGAGTGGCATCCCTTCACCCTAACCCACTACATCCTCTTCAGTACGTGTTCCTGCAATGTAGTGAGTTGTCTATATTTGAGTGGCATCCCTTCACCCTAACCCACTACATCCTCCTCAGTACGTGTTCCTGCAATGTAGTGAGTTGTCTATATTTGAGTGGCATCCCTTCACCCTAACCCACTACATCCTCCTCAGTACGTGTTCCTGCAATGTAGTGAGTTGTTTATATTTGAGTGGCATCCCTTCACCCTAACCCACTACACCGTCCCCAGAACGTGTTCCTGCAATGTAGTGAGTTGTCTATATTTGAGTGGCATCCCTTCACCCTAACTTCAGCTCCTAAAGAGGACTATCTCTAGCTCTCCGTGCATACCAGGAAATCGGGTAACTGGACAGGTGAGTTATTACCGGGATGTTTACCTGGTGTTAGTAGTATATTGTACTGTTGTGTCAATTAATATGTCCTGTTCTCTCCAGTTTATCTTTTTAAGCTTTCGTTTAGTTTTTGGAGACATAGTTTGAAGAAAACTAAACATATTGCCTAACAGTAACCCAATTATTTATACAGCTTCCCTACTGAAAGCTGTAGCCGGTCATTCTAAAAACAAAACTACCAAAGAGGGAAAGAGAGTAGAGCTGAACTTTAAGATAGCAGTTGATGGAACTTAGTCCACATTTTCTGTGCAAACTCGACTTGCTTTATATCCTATAATAAACTCATAGCCCAACCAGTCAACCAAAGAATAATTGATAAGAATGTATCAGATATTATTCACGAGAAACCTTACACCTTAAACCTCACGAGTTTCACCTTACATTCTATGATCTCAGAACATATTCAAGTACAAGACTACGGTTTTAATTGGAGCAGGAGTCGGAGTAACACCGTATGCATCCATATTAAAATCAGTGTGGTGAGTAAACAGTATAATTAGTATTTAAATTAGTATAATAAGTATTTAAATTGGTATAATTATTATAATTAGTGTAATTAATGCAATCAGTATAATAAGTACAATAAGTATAATTATCATAATTAGTATGATCAATATGATAAGTATAATTAGCAAAATTAGTATAATTGGTATAATTAGTTAATCTAGCATTATTAATATAATTAGCATATTTAGTTAAATTATCAGAATTAGTATAATTATTAAAATCAACATAATTAGCAAAATTAGTATAATTAGCAAAATTAGTTGATTAGAAAAATTAGTTGATTAGCAAAATTAGTATAATTAGCAAAATTAGTATAATTAGCAAAATTAGTATAATTAGCAAAATTAGTATAATTAGAAAAATTAGTGAAATTATCAAAATTAGTGTAATTATCAAAAGTAGTGTAATTAACGAAATTAGTATAATTATCAAAATTAGTGTAATTAACGAAATTAGTGTAATTAGCAAAATTAATATAATTAGCAAAATTAGTAGAACTAATAGATTCATTATAATTAGCAAAATTATTATAATTAGCGAAATTAGTAAATTAAACATAATAAGCAAAATAATCTAAATAGTATCTCGTTGAGATTATTAAACAGTAAATTACGCAATATTTTGGTCGATTTCTGCCATAAATGATTTAAACAGAAAATTTTCTCTCTCTTTAATTTTGGCCAATAAGTTCATGTCGTGAGCCACTAATTTTGGGTGTTATAGTGGCATTTTTTTAAATGGTGAGTTTAGAAGCACTTACAGTACCTTGTTCAATTATTTATTTGTTTATTATATGTATATGATGTATTATTTTATGGCCTTGCTGAAATGTTTTATTCGAAAGAGAGTTGTGAGATTACACATTTAATTATTGCACCTGTTTGAAACAAATCATAGTCATAACTAACGAAGTAATTTAAAACTGAAAAGTCAAAAATAATGCAACTATGTGCTTTTAAATTAGTACTTTAAAAAAGTAATGTAAATTGTAAGGTAAAATTTATTTAAATTTCTTGTTTTAAAAAACATCAGTTAAAAATGGTAAGTAATAATGTACACCTTAAAGAAAAATAATCACACCCCGCAAAACATTTATTTTTTAAATTTCAAAATAAATCTCTAAATTTCTCGGTGAATGCCGATTTATAAAAACGTTTAGAATGATTTAAAGTTATCTCTCAAAAAAATCCGATTCCATTTATCAATCGGTTGCATTTCTTAAAATGTTAAAAGGGATACCGGTTCTACTGTTCGGTAGGGTGTACAATGTTTACCATCTTCAGTGGTAGGTTGATACTATTACTAGTCAAATTGTTCATTAAGATAGCTTGAAATGTCTGGTTACAGCAGTATCTCACAGTGGCGGAGGTCCGTGTCTTTTCTCGTGATCTTCGTTTCAATATCATGAGGCTCGTTCCTGGATTCTGAAATGGTCGAGTGAAAAAAATCTGTTACTATGTAGTTTTTGGTACACACCACATTTCGTGTTTGGAAATGATCACATTTCATGAAATAATAATTATTGAACAGTTTGTAGAAAAATTTAAACAAAAAGAATATTTTTCACTTCTTGTACTTACTATTCACAGCTGCCTAAAAAGGTTTACAAAGGGTTCACATTTTGTTTTGTCAGTTGAAAGGTTTGTTCCTACTGAGTAAGGGTCTGAAATAAATTGTTATAATATTATGATATAATAGCAATACATGCAGATTTATGAAAACGTTTAAAATGATTAATCCGGTTCCATTTATCAATCGGTTGCATTTCTTAAAATGTTAAAAGGGACACTGGTTCTACTGTTCGGTACGGTGTACAATGTTTACCATCTTCACTCTTCAGTGGTAGGTTGATACTATTACTAGTCAAATTGTTCATTAAGATAGCTTAAAATGTCTGGTTACAGCAGTATCTCACAGTGGCGGAGGTCTGTGTCTTTTCTCGAGATCTTCGTTTCAATATCATGAGGCTCGTTCCTGGATTCTGAAATGGTAGAGTGACAAAAATCTGGTATTATATAAAAGTCTTTGGTAAACACCACAGTTCGTGTTTGGAACGTAAAAGTAGAAATGATCACATTTCATGAAGTAATGATTATTGAACAGTTTGTAGAAAAATTTAAACGAGAAGAATATTTTTCACTTCTTGTACTTACTATTCACAGCTGCCTAAAAAGGTTTACAAAGGGTTCACATTTTGTTTTGTCAGTTGAAAGGTTTGTTCCTACTGAGTAAGGGTCTGAAATAAATTGTTATAATATTATGATATAATAGCAATACATGCAGATTTATGAAAACGTCTAAAATGATTAATCCGATTCCATTTATCAATCGGTTGCATTTCTTAAAATGTTAAAAGGGATACCGGTTCTACTGTTCGGTACGTGTACAATGTTTACCATCTTCAGTGGTTGGTTGATACTATTACTAGTCAAATTGTTCATTAAGAAAGCTTAAAATGTCTGGTTACAGCAGTATCTCACAGTGGCGGAGGTCCGTGTCTTTTCTCGATATCTTCGTTTCAATATCATGAGGCTCGTTCCTGGATTCTGAAATGGTCGAGTGACAGAGAAAAATCTGTTATTATGTAGTTTTTGGTTAACACCACATTTCGTGTTCGGAACGTAAAAGTAAAAATGATCACATTTCATGAAATAATAATTATTGAACAGTTTGTAGAAAAATTTAAACGAGAAGAATAATTTTCACTTCTTGTACTTTAACTTACTATTCATAGCTGCCTAAAAAGGTTTACAAAGGGTTCACATTTTGTTTTGTCAGTTGAAAGGTTCGTTCCTACTGAGTAAGGGTCTGAAATAAATTGTTATAATATGATATAATAGCAATACATGCAGATTTATGAAAACGTTTAAAATGATTAATCCGGTTCCATTTATCAATCGGTTGCATTTCTTAAAATGTTAAAAGGGACACCGGTTCTACTGTTCGGTACGGTGTACAATGTTTACCATTTTCAGTGGTAGGTTGATACTATTACTAGTCAAATTGTTTATTGAGATAGCTTAAAATGTCTGGTTACACCGTACCAGGTGGTCAGATATCTGATGACCCTTCCGGCTCCACGGATGAACTCAACGAAGAAGTAAGTACAGCAGTATCTCACAGTGGCGGAGGTCTGTGTCTTTTCTCGAGATCTTCGTTTCAATATCATGAGGCTCGTTCATGGATTCTGAAATGGTAGAGTGACAAAAATCTGGTATTATTTATATAAAAGTCTTTGGTAAACACCACAGTTCGTGTTTGGAACGTAAAAGTAGAAATGATCACATTTCATAAAATAATAATTATTGAACAGTTTGTAGAAAAATTTAAACGAGAAGAATATTTTCACTTCTTGTACTTACTATTCACAGCTGCCTAAAAAGGTTTACAAAGGGTTCACATTTTGTTTTATCAGTTGAAAGGTTTTTTCCTTCTGAGTAAGAATCTGAAATAAAGCGTTATTATATGATGTAATAACAAAACATCAAAACTTTGTTAAATCTTTGAATAGATTTTGAATTTTGTTTAATGTTAAATACATATTTATGAATAATATGTATTTAACATTGAATAATGTTTATAAATGTTTATAAACACAAATATGTCCCACAGTGATGGAGTTATGAGCCTTTTTCAGGATATTCATTACATATCAATGCAACCAGTGGCGTAACGTTGCCTGTCGGCGCCCCCTGCCAAAAAAGCGCCCCCCTGTTGGCGCCCCCTTCCTTAATTTTGCCCCTCCCTAAAATTGAACAAATTAGGTGATTTTAGAGGATACGCCGGTAAAATCTCTAAAAAAGTGTATATCTAGAGCAAAACGCGCAGTTTTGCTAGTACTTTAGTTAAGTTTTCGAAATTGTCCCACATTCAAACGACGATTTGGCGCCCCCCTAAGACAACCCCCCCCCCCCCCCCCCCCGCACAGCGAAAATGCGAAAGTAAATTTGATCACAGTCAAGTTCAAAATAAGTTAGATAATAGTGTGTGTTTTAAACAGCAATTGAATTTTAGGAATTCAGCACAAACGAAGTGTTATCACGAAAAAGCACTTTAAAAAGGGTCATTTTTTACTAACCTTCAATTCTCATTAATTGGTTGAAGCTGATATCCTCTCTTTCTTCCTGTTGAACATTCGTATAGTCTTTAATATACAGCATCGTCTTCGTTCCTGGAGTTGGTTATTAATAACTTAAAATAAGAGTAAATTATCATTAATTGACGATATAAAAATCTTCTCGCTTTTGCCATTTGAAATGGAAAGCACCGGATTTCCAGTCAGTTTCTAATATTTGCTAGACAGTATCACCAAGCTATCAATGGTGTATGTTATTACAATTGACTAGATTCTACGTATTAAGTATAGGTACGTACCGTAATTGTAGCTGCTGATAAAAGCTGAAAGTAAGTTTAAAAACGAAGGCAAATAGGTTTGCTTTTCTAAAGTTGTTATATATCAGGGCTGGCCATAAACTTCAGCAGTTCAAAACTAATTACAACACTACAAATCTATTACATTTATTGAGTATTATGTAACGCGATGGAAATATTTTAAGCGGGTAATATTATCCTATCCAAACCCAGGATACATAACATGAAGACTTTGTTGTAACTTTGTATGAGAAGAATAAGCCTAATAATGTTAAAATTTTGTGGATATTGATTGAGCAGTTTTTTGAAAGATATCGACGAAAAGAGTAATCCTCCGCTTCTTAAGTACTTACTGCTCACAGCTCATAAAATTGTCAACAAAGGATTCACATCTTTTCAGTTGAAAGGTTCGTTCCTACTGAGTAAGGGTCTGAAACAAATTGTTATAATATGATATAATAGCAATACATCAAACCTTTGTTAAATCTTTGAATAGATTTTGAATTTAATTTAATGTTCAATACATATTTATAAATAATATGTATTTAACATTGAATAATTTTTATGAATGTTTAAAAACACAAATATGTCTCACAGTGATGGAGTTATGTGTCTTTTTTCAGGGTATTAATCACTTATCAATGCCATGAAGCTTGTTTCTGTAATCTGTATTCTGAAATGGTGATTTGGTTGCTGAGTGACACATTATTTCTGGTATTGTACATGTAATTTCTGGTAATCAACACGGTTCATGTTCAAAATGTAAAATTTGGTCACAGTTAAATTGAAAATAATTTAGATAATAGCAATGTGTTTTAAATAGCAATTGAATTTTAGGAATTCAGCACAATAGAAGTGTTGCACTTTGCAGTATATGACGAAAAAAAAAACAAACACTTTAAGTGGACATTTTTCTTACTAACCTTGAATTCTCATAGATTAATTGGAGCTGATATTCTCTCTCTTTCTTCCTGTTCATCTCTATTCTGTCGACATTCGTATAGACTTTATACATCATCGTCATTGTTCCTGGGTTTGTTAATTAGTAACTTGAGATAGGAGTAGATTATCATTAGACCTTATGAAGATCTTCTGGTTTTTTTCATTTGAAATGGAAATCACCGGATTTGCGGTTAGTTTCTAATATTTGCTAGACTATATTATCAAGGGTTTATGTTGTAACATTGAGCTAGATTCTACGTACATCTCACGATTGCATTAAGTGTTTTATTTTAATTTAATATATTTATGAAACAAAGTGTTTTACTATGTTATAATGAAAATGCATTCTTTGTTAAATTTTTGAATTTAAATTGATTTTACATTTTATTTTGCTTTGTCAAATGCTGTTGTGTTGAGATCTCAGAGCAGGTTACCTCGATAACTTTTCTGGGGACTTATGGGTATTTGGGTTTCTGCTGCCATACTTTTCCACCCGGAAAACTTAAACATACATTTTCTTATTTAGATATCTAAGTTAGATTGCAGTATCATCTGAGCTATTTGTCATAGCCCATCAACTGTAAGATTAAATAAATCAGTTTTCTATAGTAATATAACCATTAACCAACTCTCCCCCTTACGCCATTATTTTACCCCCTTTCGTCGGTTATGCTGAATGCTGATACTACCCTGGTTGTATGAAGAGTTTAGTTATCCTTTTGTAGTGATGCTATGGTCATTTAGCATATCCGCTTTTACAATTATACCTGTATTTATACACTCGGGTTCATTAAAATCGAAAATAAATTCCGTTCCTGAGGTGCAGGTCACCTCGCTGCTCCCTTTATTGAGAGTTCTGGATTCAATACAATTCACTTCCACCACGGTTCCTGGGACTACTGGGAACTGTGTTGTTGTTCTGATCACAGTTCTCCACTCAACCTTCAGTCCCGTACAGCTCACTGTCGATATGTCATATTAAATCACGTTAAACTGATTAATAAGGGTTATTTTGACGGTTTCTTGTGTTCTCTTCCGCAGTTCCGCGATGTAGTTTTCCTGTCCCAACCCGAACCCTTTCAAGCAACCTCAAATATAACTATACTATCGTTTGCTCGGGGGTCCAAGTCTCACATACTGTATACAATTTACCATTCTGTAGCGCAGTTAAATTAAATTTAAAACATAACAATAATATAAGATTTAAAGTTATCTTACCACAGGCAGTTTTTTTAGTGTTTGGTTTCCATCCAGTGTCACATGTCTCACAGCTTGTCATAGCATCATTCCGATATGTTCCTTCCCCACACGGCTCTGGAATAATAACGTTATATATTATTACAACTGGTAAATCGTTGTGGAAGATAAGGAAATCGTTATTATATAAGTACACTTCAGATCTGTTTCAATTTAATTAGATTTAAAACAAGAGGTGAATATGTAACTACATCGTATTCATGATCTAAAAACAAGTGTTAAAAATTCAAAACGTAAAAAACATATATCTGAGGCAAAATTTGTGTACATTAATTTATTTTTAATCAATCAACTTTATCCAAAAATTCGATACAAAAAAGTCATAACAAAATTCATAACAAAATTAGTTTATACGACGACAAACTTTTTTGTCATACGTTGTATGACCCGCCGCTGTCGAAGACGCTACAGTGAAGACGCTACATAGTGAAGACGCTACATAGTGAAACGACCGTGGGGGTAGCAACGTGATACAAAAACTTTTATAGTAAATACTGTACATTCCCAAAACTACTACTATTTCATACTTTACAGACAGGGGATTGTCTACACATATGTAGTGATATTTAGTGATATTTATAGGTTTTGTTTACTTTCTGAGTACAGGGACCACATCTCACACACGCACACTTCCGCCTCCTATTCAACACACTAACCCTTATAACATCAATCAAACCATATTAGGCTCCCACGTTTCACACTTCTCATTGGTCAGTACGATTCCCGCCATTTTCACTCCACACTAGATACATACCTACACACTTCACATCATGCACCTGTTCACCGTTGTAGCACTCCATGCTTCTGTATCATGTGTAGTATATTTAGTAGTAGTTTTAGGAATGTACAGTATTTACTATAAAAGTTTGTCGTCGTATAAACTAATTTTGTTATGAATTTTGTTATGACTTTTTTGTATCGAATTTTTGGATAAAGTTGATTGATTAAAAATAAATTAATGTACACAAATTTTGCCTCAGATATATGTTTTTTACGTTTTGAATTTTTAACACTTGTTTTTAGATCATGAATACGATGTAGTTACATTGAAACGTAGAGTAATCTCCTTTCCCTAATAAGAGCATTTTTACTTGTCGCAACAACCGGGATAAAGATAATTTTACCCAGAATACATTACAACAATGCGACTCATAAATAATACTCCAATCCGGATTTTACAAGAGGTGAATAATTAAATATCCACACAACCACGGTTTTTTTATAGAATTATTACCCTACACCCAGACTCTAACGGTTCTTGTCTTTTCGTACCACAAATTTGCCTTCTTGATTCTAAGCCCTAATAATAATTAATAATTTTATTATAATAAAATCTTGTTAACAATCCTTACCACACGTTGTTCTCGCTGAGTTTCGTTCCTGGCCAAGTTCACAAGTTGTACACAAGGCTGCTCCTTCTGAACTGATCGTGTTATCAGGACATTCTTCACATGT